AGTTGCAGCATTAAATAAATAAAAAAAATTATAGTCATGTTTATAAGTGAAATGGAAAAGAGAGGGAAAATAAAATAAAGCAAAAAAGTGAATAATATCTATACTGTAAAAGGCGTGTTTAATTTATATGCGGAAATAATGAAAAACAAGTATACAAGAAATAGTAACACAACAACCGAATAATAATTTGGAAACGAATAAAAAAATAAAAAAAAAAGAAACAAATAAATAAAAGAATAATAAAAAAAAAAAAAAACGTAAAATCTTCCGATTGTTGCTAATATTTTATAAGGTATATGTCTGATTAAAGCGTTCATATCAATTTTTGAATTTCCATCAAAAACAATCGCAATTTGTTTTTGAAAGCGTTTTTGGTGCGCGCGCTCTTTATAGGTGGCGGGATGTTATTCCAACACTTTGTTGCCGCATATCTAAAACTACCCCGGAACGCGGCGGACTTATGCCGTTGGGTGCACAGTTGTGGAAATCGTTGCCTACGTTCTGAGTTCGTATTCCTTGTCCAAATCAGTTTATTGAAAATGTATTTTGGAGCTTCTGTTTTTACTACCTCAAACAGTAGGCACGCCAGATGAAGTTTCCTGCGATAAACAATTTTCAAAACGTTATGGTCATTTAGGAATGGCGTAATGTGGCTTCGCGGTGGTATTGAAAAACAAAACCGAGCGCAGGCATTTTGTACCCGTTGTATCAATTTTTCCGTCCTAGTATATAAACAAGGCCCGTACACAGTGTCTGAATAATTTAATTTCGACAGAACCAACGCCTCCACTAGCTGGATACGTAGCCGTTCACTTAGGTATTGTCGTACTTTGTACAGTAATTTTAATCTGTAGAAACAGCTACGTATGACTTCAGAGATATATTTTTCGTACCGCAGGCTTGGTTCAAGTACTAAACCTAAATTTCTCGCCTCATAAACCCGTTCAACACCTTCAGACCCCAACGTGACCTGACAGTCAGATGGGATGTTAGAAATCTGATACTGTGATCCAAAGACCATATATTTGGATTTAGAGGGGTTGAGAACAAGGCAGTTGTTCTCGGACCAGTGTTTTATTCTGTCAAGGTCTTTGTTAAGGGCCCGTACGGCAGAGGCCCACTCGCCACTCTTAAATGAAATGTATATTTGTAAATCATCGGCGTAAAGGTGGTATTTACAATTTTGTATACATTTAGTGATATCCGATGTGTATAAAATGAAGAGAAGTGGAGAAAGAATAGTTCCCTGCGGGGTGCCTCTTTCCAGGGATCTGTACGCCGAACGTTGTGCCTGACCATTGTCCCTAGTTATCTCAACACATTGACCACGGTTTGTGAGGAAGCTTTGAAACCACTGCACTGTATCAGACGTGAAGCCGTAATATGACATCTTCGAAAGAAGCAGGGATATGTCTATGCAGTCAAAAGCCCTAGAAAAATCCAGAAGTACCAGCAACGTGCACATGCCTTCATCCCGAGCGGAGATAATGTTGTCGGTAACATCTAACAGTGCCGTAGTAGTACTGTGACCTTTCCTAAAGCCAGATTGGTATTCAGGAAGTATGTTGTTATTTTCTAGATAGTCTGTTAGCTGAAACCAAACGACTTTTTCGTCAATCTTTGATAGAAACGGGAGTATGCTGATTGGGCGAAGGTCTTTAAGTTCCTGAGGATTAGTGTTTTTTTGGCAGGGGTCGAATTATGGCGGTCTTCCATATATTTGGGAATGTTGATGTTGTGATTGAACAATTTACGATAGAAGTTATCGCGTTTAGCGTTTGTGGCATCGTCATAAGTACCATTTTGAGTGTAATGCCGTCAATGCCCTCTGCATTTGATTTAAGACTGGAAATAATTTTAGAAATCAACAGTTCGCTAACAAGATGAAGGGAAAAATACGTATTATTTGGATGTAGGTGTGTGTCGAAATAACACTGAGTCAATGCGTCAGCGCAGGCGTTTCCCGGAATATATAAAAAGTGACTATTAATTTTGTCAGGATCAGCCAGATGAGAAGGTAAAGTAGTATCTTTGTTCGGGGGCAATACAGTGGACTTTAAATTTTGCCATAAAATTTTAGGCCTTTTTAAATTATTATTTATGTTGTGTTCGAAATATGCCTTTTTTTCGTTGTTAATAGAATTAATAACTAAAGTTTTAAAATTTTTGTAATACGTTTTATGCGAATCTAGTTTTGTTTTTAAATACCGTTTATGAGCTGAATTCCGGAGTTTTATCATTAATTTAATTATGTCAGTTATCCACGGCTGGTTTTGTGCTTTGATTACACTAGTTTTTATTGGGGCAAATACGTCAAATAAACAATTAATATAGGAATTGAAAGATAATACCTTGCTATCAATATCAGGAATGAGAGATACTAAATTCCAATTAATGGAATTTAATGTTGAATTAAACGCTTCAAGTGGTATATCTTTGAGTGGTCTGTATTTAATTTTTTTCGCATGTATTTTACTTCTTTCACTGTGCAATTCACAAACTAATAAGGCATGATTACTCAAAGGAGCAACAGGTTCAACCTCAATCCTACGTGTTCTCAAATTAGTACAAATAACATCGATTAATGTTTGACTGTGATCAGTAAAGTGAGTTGGGGACGTAACTAGTTGCACTAAGTCCAAAGAATTCAGGAATGTATTAAACTTAAAAACTTTCAGATCATTAGAGCGGAGCATATCTATATTAAAATCTCCGAGAAGAATAATGTTGTCGCAGAACGCTAAAGAATTAATTGATAAAGTTAGGGCGTCAAAAAAAGAATCAATGTCGAGCCACGGTGGCCGGTACGCGGTACCAATAGCTAGCATCTTGTTATCTATCTTAGAAGTTAACCACATTTGCTCAACATAAGTGAGCGATGGCTCGACAGGGTGAGTAAAGATGCGGGCATTTATTCCGCGCTTTATGAAGAAGCCCACCCCGCCACCTCTGCCGTTGCGCACGGTGCGCGGGCGCGGCGCGTGCAGCAGCCGGTATCCGGCGGGGCGCGGGGCGCTCCCCTCCTCGCCCGCACGTAGCCACGTCTCGCCCACCGCCATCACATCTATCGCGTGGCAGAGGAGAGCAATGAATTCATCGCAATGTGTGTTTAGCGAACCAACGTTAAGATAACCGAGCTTTAAAAATGCCTTATGGCCGGTTGATAACTTTACTCAAAAAAAGTTTTAAATAACTTTGATTAGGTGATGATTTGTTTAAAATACGTAATAAGTTTTCAACCGGACTATACACAAAAAGAATTTTCGTATTTTCCAATGTATCATTGACTAACGCAACTAAGTTAACAGTTAACACAATATAAATTAATAAAATGAGAGAATTCCATGTACACTTAAATAAATGATAAATTAAATAGTTCGAAGTAAAAAAGTAAAGACCCCACCAAACAGCATTGAAACATGCATGCAAAATACAAAAACAAGGCAAAAGCACAAATAAAACTATGGCGCTATAAAAACTTTTAAACAGAAAAATAATTACAATAACTTTATATAAGTCGTCGTTACACAAGTTAAGCAATAGAACTGCATAGCATACTGTTAAGTATTGTGTGAAAAATAGTACAAAACATAGCAATTTTTTCTTTTTGTAAACAAAAAAGCAACTAAATACAAATAATGACATGTAACAATAAGGGCCTACGTGCAGGCAAGTGCAAGCGTACTGAACAAAGAACAACACAGGACATATACACAGTGCTACGTTAAAGCGTTTATCACTATATAATATTGACCAACTATTTAAGATGTAAAAATTTTTTTAATGTCTGCTTCACTACAAATACGCTCAATAGCCTTACCGTCGTCTTTCCTTGTAAATATTCGACCATCCTTTGTCCACACATACTTCCATTGTACGCGGGAAGCCGCTTCGCGTGCCTTACCGAAAAGCTGCCGGTTATTCCGTGTGAGTCGCTCGTTTACATAGAATCTCCTCGGTGCACCAGGCA